TTACTTCTCTTTCCAGCTCCCAGTGTCCACTCTTTCTATAAAAAAGAAACAGCAGAGAGAAAAGAGGGCGGAGGACAGGGCCTGTTGGGGGCAGGATAAATGGATGGAAACAGGAGGAAGAAAAAGAGGATATGTAGGTTGCTGGGATCGGGAATGTTTTCACTTAAAGGAAGAATTAAGTAAGAATGTAACACCCTGGAGAGATAAAGGCCAGGAATGGAGAGGAAAATGAGGGAGGGGCCACGGCGACGATAATATATGGATGGGGTTCTACAAAGGTGGGAGCTTGCTAGCAGAATGACAAATGGGTCTCGAGTGACAGAGTATTATATTAAAAAGTAAATTGATATGCAAATGTGGAGTGTGTGGCTTTGGAGGACAGGGATAGCCTGTTGTCCTCACTGAAGTGGAACAGAGAGAGGCAGAGAGAAAGGTGAGAGCCCGGGTGCGATAGTGATATCGCAGTCCATTAAAGTGTGTGTTTTTGCATGATTGGCGCAGGTGGTGTGTACTTTAAATCTGCATGAATATACAGCCATGTGTGCGGGGTTGTGTGTTTACTGTATGAAACAGCAGAGTATGGTGTAATTAGACAGCAGCTAAATGGAACAATGACTCTCCCACAGTGACAGATAGTGCTAACTTCACACCGCAGAATAAAGAAGCAGCTAGGGCCGATGTGAGGAAGACTGCCTCGTTACAAAGTCTGTTCCAGCACAAAACCCTGCGGCATCTGAATCAATAGCAGACAACTAGCCACTCAACAGGGCTGTGTGGTGACAATAACCATGTTTTCTGCAGTTGCACATAAATAAAGCCATTTTGAGATAATATAAATACAATCAGAGCTGCACCCAGAAGAGTGCAGATGTCTGCCAGGTGTGTCTGGAACAGGAAGTGCAGGGCAGGCTGTGTGTCCAGTATACATGCATGGCAGTAGTGAAACAAAGAAGAGTTAAATCTCACTCAGTTGTCTCTCCTGGCTGCTTTACATTCAAGATGGTGGCGAAAAACAACAAAAAACAGTGATTTATTGTTGTTGTATTGTGCCTAACTTCAGTAGATCATAACATATTAAAAAATGGAATTAATCTGGAGATGCTCCAGGTTAAAATAAGACTTTTCTATGGATGTCAGTGTCTGAGCCCTAACAAAGGCCAAAATGTGGCCTGCAACAGACTAGTTAAGGCTCCCTTTAGAATAGCTGATTGCTGGAAATGCCTTTTGCTACTTAAATGGCAGTTTTTATATAGTTTTTCTATAGTTTTATTATTATTTTTATTGCATTTTATGTGATAGTAGGAGGTGAGCTATCAGGACGCACCATGATTGGCGGTTGTCGATCACCTGCTGCCCTTACAGGCCGGTCGAGAGGAGTGAGGAGGCAGCAGATAGTAACCACATAAAACAGAGCAGTCAATGAAAAAGGTTTCTTAAAAGTTGTGAATCACCTCAACCACGAAACACCGTCAAGTGCCCCCCAACATACATTGGCAGCGGCGCACAGCGGCACCGTCGACACTAAAGTGTATTTCCCACCCCAAACCGCTAGGTGGCTTTACCTACACTAGTTGCCAACGGTTGCCAACTGCTAGTAACGGAAGAAGAAGAGGAAAAACTTTGAGGCAACAACAACTTGGATTTCATGGGTGAGTTTCTTATCAAAAAATTCTTATTAAAAATTTGAAACAACCGGAGTTGATACTACGGCGGCCGAGATGTACATAAAAGGCTTTTCTCACAGTGCCGGCCGCGCTGGAAATAGAGCAGTGGGCTGAAGCAGAGCGGCGCGGCGGCCAGCACCAGTGTGGGTTTGTTCATAGAATATAATGGAGGCGGGCGTTTTGACGTGCAGCGTATGGCGGCAGTGTGTGTTGCACTCTAGTCACACAATTGCACAAAAAATTTTAGGCTGATGAGTCCAGTAGTTTGCCTAATTAGCTGGAACAGACATACACACATGACTGAATGTCTGATCCACTTAAATGAGTAACTACAAAATGTGCTACTGATATTTATTTACTACTATTGCGTTTCCAAATATGTTGTGAAGGAAACACACAATTATTTGTCTGGATTACAAGCACTGAGAATGTTTTTTTCCCAAACCAGAAAGAAACATCTCTGTACAGTCTGTGAACAAAGCACAGGACTTTGACACCAGAGGATCCCACATGTTGTTAGATTTAGATTAATAAACTAGCCCGAAGTAAATGGCAAAAAACTAAAGTAAATGTAATCAGAAACATCCTACATGAATGCAAAAGACAAAACCACAATGCAAACTACAACAGCATGTGGAGGCCAGGAAGAAAAGAAGAGAGTGATGTCAGTTGGGACGCCACTTAAATGGACTCAGGCCCAAACTACTGAGGTTTATGTCCGTTCTCTACTCTGCTTATTGGCTCCTGAAGCGGGACACCGAACCACACACGCAGGCAGCAGTCAGAGGGAGGGACGTCATACTATTTAACATTTGTTTAAGGTCAGGGAAAGATCTGGTTAAATGTCAACAGCAAGTCAGGGCTGAGTCTTCAACTATTCAACCAACAATCTGTTTCTCTCCTGAACCTACGAGCTTTGAGTGCTTAAGAATGATCATTAAAATGTTAATTTGAAAGACAGCAGTGGATATTGTAGAGACAATAAATTCTGAAAACACATCTTTTAGTAAACGGCTGATTCCCGATGTGTGTTCTCTAATGCATCTTCAATAAATGGAAGAGATTATCCAACGAAGGGGCAAATACATGATTAAAACATTGCTGAAGGCAGTAAAACGCTATAATTTGGTGTAAAGCTGATCCTCCAAAGAAAGAGCAACAGCTAGATATTGATCAGGAAAATTGATCTTTTTAGAGTGGGAGAGAATATTTTTGACAGACGATGGAAACCATTTACATGCCAAACAAGCAACCTCATTGTTTAAACATGGAATAATTGCTAATGAGAATCATCCATATACATGTGTGATTACCCTATGACAACTATTTGCTCTGCTATGTTGTTTTTCGTACTACCGCCACATGTTACCACTTTAAAATTGGGACACTCAATAAAATAATTAAAGTATTTTTGTGGCATCAGAAAATGGTTTCCACATTGTCCTCCTGAGTCCAGCTCTTGACTCTTTTATAGACAGAATTACAGGTCAGCTTCGTTTAGCTGACGGTTTTAAATAAAATATCTGTTTCAAACACACAGAGAGCGACACAGCTGTCGGGGGAAAAACAAAAGCCACAGCCATGTCAGGTTTTGTGCCATGTTTAAGACTGCAGCGCTAATGATTCATGACACTTCTAACTGAAGAGGAGAAATGAGTCGCTCTGTAATTACTATGGAAATGTGTTCATTTCCCATCAGACACACACACACACACACACACACACTCACTCTCACATATGCAGCCATGCACCCGTAGAGACACACACTAACACAGATACACATCCAGCAAGTGTTCTGAATGTGGGTTTTGCTGAACTACACACGTGTGTATGTGTTTGTGTATGTGTTTGTGTGTGTGTGTGTGTACGCCCCCACGGGATTATCACAGTGGGAGCAGAGGTGTGACCCATGTCCCCATTCCCCATATGCTTTAAACACATGCCCCAAAGCACTGTGTGTGTGTGAGAGTCTGTGTCAAGGGGGTAATGATAGTCCCTTGGTGTTTGACTGGCTTGAGCCCAGCTGATAACCAGGTGGGGCCCAAGGAACATTATGCACTCTCCTCTTTATCCCCAAATACCAGCAACCAGTCTCTACCCTTATGTGTGTACGTGTGTGTGTGTGTGTGTGTGTGTGTGTGTGTGTGTGTGTATAAATATCCCCAAGACAGCCTATTGATGTCTGGGTTATACCATGCATTCAGCTGTGTAAAATCAACACAAGGATTAAACACCAAATGACTGAGATTTACTGAGCCTAGCGAGACCCCACCTTTCTCCATTTCTGTCGCTGCGTTTCTCTCTTCCTCACGCTTTACTTTATTTCTTTTCCAATCTTTATTCCTCTGTTTTGTCTCTATCTAACTTCCCCTCTTACTATTTCATTATTAAATCTTTGCTCATTATTCCTTTCAGTCTCCGTTCCTCCTCTGTCCTCCACTCTGCTTCCTTAAATTACGTACAGTCTGTGCAGCTGATTCCCAGTTACTCTTGGCTCTAACCCCAAATCAATTTATCTCCATGATGGACAGACATACTGACTGGCTGCTGTTTTACCTGTACAGCAACTGAGGAGGATTCGATAAGAGGGGGAAAAACAAGAGAGGAGAGGAGGCTGTAGCGTTTATGTCGTGTTTAGTACCTCGTTATATGGAACTGCTTTTTACATTTTATGTTTTTTGTCCTAAAATGTTTGTGCCGAATTTAAAAGAGCTGTAAATCTCGGAGACAGTGTTATGGGTGATAAGGGCTGTTAACCACAGTTTGAGGCAGAAGCTCGACAAAGCGGAGAGAAAATACACTGATACAAACATGTCAGACACCTAACAAAAACACACACACAGCATCCCCCCTCTGACGTCTGTAAAACAGAGTGAGTTAAATACTTCCTCACAGCTGGGCGGCAGAATTGAGTTGATCAATTTGTCAATAGTTTGTCTTGATCATTGAACTGACCTGCGCTGCGGGGTGTGTGCATGTGTGCACAGAGGGGCGGGAAAAGGGCACAGAGGTGTGTGTTTGTGTGTGTGTGTGTGTGTGATGCATTATAATATTGAAGGCGACTGTTGAGGGCCGGAGGAGTTAGAAAGAAAGAGAGGGGTGCTTTATGCATAGATCTGCCTCCACAGAGAAATCTATGATGCAAACACACTCACATCTTAGATTTCATATATCAAACACAGGTGTGAAATTGCACATACACGCTCAAGGGTATGTGACCTTCCATATGCGTGATATAAAACTGTACTGGTATAAGTGTGGTGGAAAAAACATATCTATACTGTGTATGTAAGTCTATATACAGGATCATAACCCAGCTGTGCACTCCTTCTTCAGGCACTGTGGATATATTAAAGCCAAGCAGGACCCTGACGAAGAGAAGATGCAGTTCCAACATGGCCGAGGTAAAGATGCCAGCACATACACACATAAATCAATGTATCTGCGTACAACAGTTCCCATCATATGTTACAATAATGCCCATACAACTGTTTCTACGATACTACTGAAATAGCCCCGCACAAACGGTGTCGTCGCATTACATACTTAACGTAAAGTTTCATACTTAATATAAAGTAATGTAGGTTAGGTTTAGGGAAAAAAACATGGATAGGCGTTGTCACATTACGTACCTGATGTACCAAATGTTAAGTGATGAAGGTTAGGTTTAAAAAAAGAAACATGATTGGGCATCACTTTACATACCGAACATACCTAATGTAATATTACGTAGGTTAGGTTTAGGAAACTAAAGTTACATAGGTTAGGTATAGGAATAAAAACATGGTTGGGCGTTGTCACATTACCTCCCCCAATGTACCTAACGTTACAAAGGCTAGTTTAAAAAAAGAAACATAGTTGGGTGTCGTCACAATACCTACCTAATGTACCTAATGTAAAGTTACGTAGGTTAGGTTTGAGAAAAGAAACATAGTTGGGCGTTTTCACATTACATATTTAATGTAAAGTTATGTAGGTTAGGTATAGGACAGTAAAGTTGCATGGGTTAGGTATAGGAAAAAAAAAACATGGTTGAGCATCATCACATTAGATACCTAACATAAAGTTACGTGGGTCAGGTTTAGGAAACTAAAATTACTTTGGTTGTTTATAAAAGTAACATTATATAAGTTAGGTTTTGGAAAAAACATGGTTGAGTGTTGTCACATTACATACCTAACGTAAAGTTATGTAGGTTAGGTTTAAGTATGGTTGGCCGTTATCACGTTATGCATCAAAACTAGCATTGTGTAGGTTACATTTAGGAAACAAAAATTACGCTGGTTAAGTTTAGGAAACTAAAATTATGTTAGGTGTAAGATAAAAAGCGGGGTTGGGCGTCACATCACACATTACATAGTTAACGTAAAGTTACACACTTAAAGTAAAGTTATGTAGGTTAGGTTAAGGAAAATAAAACATGGCGACAATGTACCTTAAAATAACTCAAGTTCACTTCGTTTGGACCGAACAGTGGTCTCCTGGGTGAAAGTCCTGTGTTTGTTTGACTCATCCACCACCCCAGCTTGCCCTGTTCAGCAGACTTTCGCTCTTTATACTACTCCCTTCTCTACTCCTGTCAGGGCATCAGTCACGTGATCATAGCCTTCCCAATTATGTGGGTTACGTACAAACCCTAACCCCACTTAGGCATATGTACGAACATTGCATGAGAACAGCCTGCAAATACGCATAAATGTTTATTGCTTTCAGAAATGCAAATGTTTCAGTTTGTTATCATGTGACATACTGACATCTGTCATGGTATTTCATAACATAGCACAACACATACAAGTGTATTCGGTTTTTGTTAATATTTTTTTTAAATTTAAGTTTGAGCTTATGCAAGCACCCTACACACACACGCACACACGCACACACACACACACACACACACACACACACACACAACTCTTTAAAACACGCTTCACATCCTGTCACATCACTGCCTGTAATTATGGTCGAACACTTCAGATCAAAAGCATTCCTCATGACAACATCTGAATAATTACTGTTTGTTTATTCAGATACAACAGTTGTTCTTTGTTTTCAGTTACCTTCAAATGTATCATAAGATCAGAGCTGCCGAACAACATTCAGTTTGTGTACATAAATCTCCAACTTCGTAGCATTCCCAGCTGAATAAACCACATTGCTTCACACGTCCTTGCACAAATGTTTGCTGGCAAAGTGTAGCTCCTTATGGGTTCCTGTTAAAAATTATGAGTCATTTTAACACCACTTCTTAATTATGTAATAATTTGCAATGTCACTCAAACAGAGCACCCACGCTCTGCTGCTCTGTTCACTCTGCTGAAATGTCCGAGCAGGAATCAGTGTCGGCTCCTGTAGGAAACCATTTCCCTAGAGAGATCAATACCTCATTAACACTATTAACTTTCTTTAAATAAATGTAACACCATACACTGAGCAAAAGCTGGCTGTATTTCAGCACAATTAGCATTTATCTTTATTTATTCATCCGTCCTGTTTCTCCACTTTTCCGCTCATGCAGTTAAGCTGCCAGGCAGCAGGACCTACATCCATCCTCACACCTACGAAGACCCCAACCAGGCTGTCAGAGACTTTGCCAAAGAGATCGATGCTTCCAATATTCGCATAGAGAGAGTCATTGGAGCTGGTAAGTTGGCAGTAAAACAGCAGTGGACTATATTAAAAACTTCGGAAACTGTAAAAATCTAACTGGAACTTCAATTACTACTGCCTTCTTCTGTGTGTGTGTGTGTGTGTGTAGGAGAGTTTGGGGAGGTATGCAGTGGTCGGCTGCGTGTTCAGGGAAAGAGGGAGATCTATGTGGCCATCAAGAGTCTGAAGGCAGGATACTCGGACAAACAGAGGAGGGACTTCCTGTCTGAGGCCTCCATCATGGGACAGTTTGACCACCCGAACATCATCAGGCTGGAGGGAGTCGTCACAAGATGTGAGTGATGAACTAAAACCACACGTCATCCTTTGTGCTGGGTTGTGTAACATACACTCCACTTTTCCCTCTCTGTATGTGTGCTGTAGTAAGTGTGTGTGTGTGTGTGTGTGTGTGTGTGACGTAACTGTGTGAGAGCTGTCGGTGATGTAAATCAGAGTTGACCCTGGATCAGATAAAAGCTCCATTACCATGGTAACACTTTGATGACACATGCAGTGTGGCATGTGAGCGGCGCCTGTCCGCCTCTCAAAGCGGCCACTTGTTTACTTCACATGATTGTGTTAGGCAATTAGAGCGAGTGTGTCCATGTAGGTGAGATAGACGCGGGCCTGGTTCAACAAGATAGCTGATTCGTTATCGCTGGGCCTCGCTCTCTCAATCATACTCTCTCCCTCTGTCCATCTATCCCTCTTTCATCTCATACATCTCAGTCAGTGTCCATCTAATCTTCTCATTCAATCGCAGCCCACTTCTCTCCTGTCCCTGTGGTGCTCTCTCCCTCTGTCTCTTTGTCTCCCTCACTCACAAGCCCAGCTCCTGCTAAACACAGCTATCCAGTAATAGCCACCAAAACGTTAAGCTTTAATTGTGTGTCTTGGTTCTTAGAAGATGTGAAATGGTCCATCAATGTCTGCAAAGCGACATAGCGGATAGTGTTAGATTTTACATTATGATCATCAGGCTGGTTAGGGGCTGTGTGGCAGGAAATTTAAAGGGATAGTTCGGTCAGTGTATTACCTACAGTAGATGGCCGCCAATATCGCCACGATGTGCTGCTGTGGGCGAAGGCAGCAGCAACATGTATTTTAGCCACCTACAAAATGGTCTTCTTCTTCTCTTTGTTGAGAATATTATCACTGTTTGCCTTGCTGCAGACAGCCCTTTCCAACCAGGAACTGAAGCCAACATCTTTGCTCTCATCCATGCCACCAGACTCCTTTGAAAAAATCAGTAATTTTAGCTCACTGAACATGGTAACTGCTGGTCTACCTCTGCCTCAATCAGTTAGTTAGTTTGTGTTATTATGGGACTTAAGTGAATCCGAACTAACCCTTTAAAACACCAAAGTCACCCAATAAACGTATCTAACTAACTGATCAAGGCAGCAGCAGCCCAGCAGCTCCTGTGTTCTGCAAGGTAAAATTACTGTTTTTGTCAAAGGAGTCTGGTGGCTTTGAAGAGAGCATAGATGGCTGCAGTTTCCCCTCAGAAAGAGCTGTCTGACAGCAAGGTAAAGCGGTGAGAATATTTTAAACATAGCGTATACTTCAGCTGATATTTTTTTTTTTTTTTTTTTTTTTAGATGGCTAAAATTTGTTTTGCTGCTAACCCTGTTAACAGCAGGATGTTGCTTAGCTTCCATGGTACTTCTGTCCGCTTCTCCGAACTGGGAGTGTGCCGACCGCCCTCTCCTGTAGGTAGTACACTGACTATGGATAAGTGTCTCATATAAGCCCACTTCATAAAATCCTAATTATCCCTTTAAGAATACAACTCTCTCTCCCTTTCGACCCCTTCTGTGATCTCTTATTTTAAATGCCAAAACAGGTGATCACCAGTACAGGTGCTGTCATCATATTCAAGCAGCAGTGCCTGATTAACAGGTAGCATTTATGACCAACGATCGAATCTCAGTTGGCTCATCCACATGGCAGACAATGGAAACAAAAAATATATCGATGATAGCAACTAAATTGCAAGTTTGGCTGCCTTAAAATGTAGCGTAGGACACTTGGACGGAATAAAGCCTTTTGACTTTTGTTAGTGTTAGTGTGGAAATCTCTGCAAAATCAACCAGACAGCACGAGTGTGAATGCACATCCTTTTCATGCATAAACTGAGCTTTCAAGTCATCTCAGTGTGGCTTCAGGACTCTTTCCCCTCCTCAGTGCCGCTGCTCTGTTCCTCCCCTGGTCTGACACCTTGTTATGCAGATGTTTGTTAGAGATCTACAGACAAGCAAAAGGAAGAGGGAGATAGTTGCTACAAAGAAACAGAATTGTAAACATGCCGGCTGACAAATAAACCTCCGCTTTCTTCCCTCGTCTCACTCCCCCCCCCCCCCCCCCTNCCCCCCCCCCCCCCCCCCCCCCCCCCACCTTCTCTCTCCCTCTGCCACACACACACAAAGATCTCAAGTCCATCACACACCGGTGCTCAGTGGCACTTAGGCCAACAATAAAAAAGCAAATGCATATGCATAGGCTTTTATCATGAATATTAATAATTCATAAAGTTAATTGGATGTGTTTTTAGCCTCATGAATATTCAGCAGCATGCATATTAAGAATGAAACCCCACTCCATTTCTTATTCACTTCCTCTCTTACTCTGTCACTCTCTCTCTCATTGTCTAAATAATGCTTGATGTTAACTATGACCTTTGCTTAGCAGGATTGAGGCAGTTTGTAGAAGTACTACAGCATTTTTTTATATTCACGTAGGCAGACATGTAATTATGGCACTTTCCTTTCAGTGGCACATACCATTCTGATTTAAAATACTGGAGTATTTTCAAGAATTACTGCCAAATCCTTGAAATTTTCTGACAGAGGACAATAGCGGAGCTGACAGAGGAAATGTTGGCTTGACAAGCAACTTAAACACAATAGCTCTTCACTTTGCCATGCTTTATGAATATAAAAATATGTTTGTGTGTGTTGTTTTTGCCGCGTGTGCATGTAATGAGCGTCTGTCTACTTTTACAAGCGTCTCTTTGTGTCTGCTCTTCTCACCTGTCTTCACGGCACATTGAGAAACTGATAGAGCTCCTCAGAAACAAATCTCACCAGCGGAGCAGTAATTTCACAGGTCACAGCCCAGGGTGCGTATGTGCGAGTGAGGGGGTGAGAGTTGAGATGGGTCAATAATTCCTTCAGGCCTTTTTCTCCAGCACCAGCTGGTCCCTTCACACCGCCCTCAGTCTAATCAGGCAGGCTGACCCTGACTGCTCTGGGCTCAGGTGTGTTGGATTGGTTTGTGTAGTTGTACTGTAAGTAGTAGTAGAATCAGCAGTTACAGCAGTACTATCGTTTGGAGTAGTACAAAGACGTGGTACAAAGATATTTTAGCAGTAGCAGAAGTAGCTGTGGTAGTCTGAAGCAGCAGTAGCAGTTGTAACAATATTAATAGCAGGAGTAATGATACTGCAGAAGCGGCAAAAGACTTGTGTTCTCATACTAACATACGCTTATTTGTTTTCTTATTGAGGCTTAAATGAGAATACCACTCTAATATCACTGTTTAAAATGAAGCTAGAGCCTCAGCTTAGCATAAAGACTGTAACAGGGTACCAGACATAAATTTAATGCTTTTTAAGACCGTTTCAAGACAGCTTTTAACCAAATGTAGGTCCGATTTTTGGACAAAGCATGTTTTACTTATCTAAGAATTAGAAGTAAGCCTTGCAGGTAAGTAGTATATATATGTGGTCTTGTGCAGAGGAAAGTGTATGTGCAAGTATGAAGTAAAATTACAGTATTATGTTGTTGTTTTTTTAGATTTGTAACATCAGAAATGTGGACTTATACATAAAAAAAGCTTCACTCATTTACAGAAAAAGAAATGAAAATATATATAAATGAAATTAGATAAAATGTTTGTAGCAGTTGAGACCTTGCAAATTTAAGTTTAAGACTATTTAATGACCTTTAAGGCCTTATTATTATAAATTAAATTTAAGATATTTTAAGACTTTTTAAGGACCCGTAGACACCCTGTGTAAATAGATGAAAACAGCTAATCTTACTATGTCCAAAGATGAAATAAAAAGTCTAGGAAGTCATTACTCCCAGCCAAAAACATTGTTGCACATAACCCGCAACAACAAATAAATAGTTGTTGTAATGTTTCAGTGTTTGTATGAACTAAACAAAGTATGTCATGTTAGTTTTAGCGCTTTGGAGGTCTTGTCATTTTGCAACGCTAACTAGTTACCGGCTGTATCTTCATACAGTATTAAGTCTCGCAAAGCCATACCCAGAACAGCCAGGGTTCGCTTGAGAAAGGTCTGGCTGAACACATCCTAATTCCGCACTAAGAGAAAAACGCTCTGAGTTGTTTGTATTTCTTTAAACCAATCACAACAGTCTTGGGCTGTCCTAAGCCCAAAATGCAGCAACGTTGGCCTTGCAAAATAGTGTCAGGAGTTAACTTGTTTTGGTGGAACATTGGCACATAGGGAAGCAATCCCCAGCATTATAATCTGTAAATCTCCAAAAAAGAAAATGCTACATAAAACATTAAAAGACATTTTAGCATGCAAGTTGCCATCTGTGAGGTTGTTGTTTCACACACAGCCCAAAAATGAAGTGTGGAGATAGGTTTGGCTATGCTAGACTAGTTACGCATAATGACTGGGATTTTGAGAAAGGCCTTCTGAAATAGGTGGGCAATAAGAGGCTTATGCCCAAACTCTACATCCTGTGATTTAAACTACTTTATATTTAACGGACAGACATTACATCGCTGTAATCGCACTCGAGGCAAAAAAAACCCAAAACAAATAAGCACATAATGGTAAGAAAGAGCACTTTACAAGTAACAGTGTCAGCACAATAGTAGAGGTACAGCTAGTAGTGATTGTAGTAGGGTAATACAACCTAGTAGCAGTGATAGTTTGGGAGAGCGATGGTGGCACTTGTTGTAGCACTAATGGTTGTACTGGTATTTATACAAATTCTGCACAGTTGTATTTTGTATTGCTTATTTAGGCTGTCTCCATTTTCCTTTCTCAGTGTGTGTGTGTGTGTGTGTGTGTGTGTGTGTGTGCATGCGTGTTCCCTCCTCTTAAAACCTCATAAGCCCCCAGCCCCTGCCGTGTGCCACTCTAATAACCTACTCTGCTGTCTGTCACCTGATTGTTGCTATTGTCATGCTAATTAGAGCGCCACATGCGGAAAAAGAGAAAAAATAGATCTTTCTTTTCTCTATCTGTCTCGGTACACATCAGGAAAGTGCAGCAATCTGCCCCCTCCCCTCCTCCTCCCTCCCCTCCCC